GAAATTAGACCGTGTTAATATTGATCCGGAGATCTTTCAGGAGGTTAAATTTGAAGTCAATATTTTTCGCAGTTTTTTCGAAAGTTACTCGAATTTTTCTTCATCCTCGTCTCTTGTTGGCGACCTCAGGAGAAGCTGTGGCACGGGTTGTTGTGATCGTTCGATCGAACGGAAAAATTTGGACTTGGTATTTCTTGTCATGGCGGTTAAACGGTCGAATTTTCGAAACATCCGCGATTTTGTGTACTTATTCTTCTCGGCAATGTCGAAGGCGTACAACGTTCATTCGCATGTCTGCCGACATTGATATGGAGGTCTCCGGAGCGATTGCATGGTGATCGCGTCATCTGCGGAGGTTTGCGTGGAATCTTCAAACATTCGCGATTTTTTCAAATCGTGCGAATTCTTTTTTAGATTTACGGAGATGTTACGAATACTGTAGACAAAATCGAGCCATGAATGCTGATTTTTTGCGGATTGACGAGTTTATTGGAAACATCGATGATTTCGTAAGCCTTACATTCTTCTACAAGAACATACTCTAAGATACCATATTTCATATAATTCAGTTAATTGAACTAAAATATTATTTAATGTGTTACTAAAATTGTGTGACTAAGAATATAACAAATAGAAATAATTTAAAACTTAAGACAGTAATTCTACAGTAAACACAAAAATTTAGCACCATCTTATTTGGAAAATAATTATATTTGGTGCTTTTAGAAAAAAAAAATTCCCTTAAATTTTTATTGGCTTCAATAATGCAATCTAGATTGAATGACTTTTAGTTAAGATGAAAATGACAGTAATTTGAACAGCCAAAACAAAAAAAAAATTATTTGTTTGCAAAATTCATAGGGATAGGAAACTTTAAAACACTGCAGCCAATTCTGATCGATTTTGCTCCCCATTTTATGTTTATATTACTCCACATGTCTAGCTAACCGATATTTCCATCATAATGAAGAAAAGTTTACACACACACAAAGCAACATCGGCAAATCCAATTCTCTACTCACGTAGACAGTGTCCTGTTAAAAGTCATGATTTCTTTGAGCATGATTTACTATACTCAATATGTCGTTTATTCTCTTCTACAAGGTAAAATTCAACTTTCCTTTCACTTGAACATGTCCTGATCTTGAGTCAGTGTTCACGATGTTCTTCTGTCTAATGACATTTAAGGGACGTTAATCGCAAGCTTTGGTTCTAGGAAAACTCTCAAATCTCATTTCCAGGTTTACTTTTTCATTTCCTTCGATGTCTTTGCACCCAACTTAACTAACCCTGTGAATATTTCCTTCATTTAGCAATTATAAACGGCCATAACGAAGTTTTGTGCTGCACGGAATACTGTTGAAGGCTCCCTGGCGGTAATTTTTGTCAGATCTAGTACCCCAGCTTCTGTTCGAAGGTCTGTTTTGAAAACATAGCATAGCATAAACATAACAGGTTCTATTTTCTCAGCTCTTATGCTCTTCGACTAAGGATTCGATTCTCGAAAGGCTTATGAAAGTGATAGTTGAGTCGATGCTTAAGAGGAAGAATCTGGGGATTGACCGAGGATGTTGCATTGGATGTATACAGTGGTTTAGTGGGTTAAGGTCAAATAAAGTACTGCAAGGGAAAAGTTAAATAGATTTTAGTGATTGCCTTATATCTTGCGTCCATATCGGTTGCCTTGAAAGTTTCATTAAAATTGCAACACTTTATATTATGAAAAGATAAATAAAAATGATAGCATACCGCATTAGAAATAAAAATGACGGAAGAATCGTACCTCATGATAAAGTACACTCCAAAGTTATGAATATGTTAGTCGACTAACTTTACTGTCTCACCTAGCTCTCTTCTATTAGTGAAAAAATTTTTTGGCTTTATTATTTGAGAGGAATTTTAGTTCTTTTATAAAGAAAACAATTACATTCCAAAGATATATATCAAGTATATTCTTTTCATTAGGGAATACCTTATATATTTTTACCTAATCTGTATCTGAATTACATTGACAGGTTTTCATGAACCTATCTAATATCAGGGAAATATGATCAATGGAATGTGCTATAGGCATAATGTTTTTAGAAAAGAATGAACTAATATTTGTGGAGCCTTCAAATAACATTCGCGCAACAATCTGTGTTGTAGTATTCCATAATTATTGTCTCTATTTTATACTAATTTTATTAGTCAGAATTAGAATCTCTAAAATTTTCTTGTTCCACAAAGATATTACTAACTTCAATATTGTAGTAATGTAGCTGTTTCTCGATATTGGAAAAATGTTACAACACCCTACTAATATATGTCGCAATTTACCTAAGCAGCAAATTCTGCATTTTTTCGCTTTAATTGTACTTAAAATATCCATTATTTGTTTATACTACGAGGTACATGTAACTTTTATAACTAATATTAACCAAGTTGAGAAATACATGTTTGAAATATCTTACAAATAACTTACACCTTTACCATTGTTGGTATTGTAGTTTTTTGTACACATTATGATAGTACATTTGCTGGGCATAACTCATTTAATGTTGGAAATAGACTCTCAAGAGATAGTATTGATTTTTCAATTAAATTGATCTTTTAATTAATAATATACTTTTCCATATCTTCATTCTACGGGATAACTTTCAAAAAATATAATATCTGGTATGGTATAACCTGCACATTGTGTTATTTTTTAATTGTAACTAACGAATGATCAATCATCATGTACACTTCACCATTTATAAAAATCCTTGCTTTATTAAAAACAACCTACCTACAGTACTCTTACATTTAAATTTCCTCAAAAAAGCATTCATATTTTAGAAAACATAGATTGTGTATGCTGTTGATCTTAAATTGAGGTATGATAAACATACTGCGTATACCTATCTCGTTTTGCGTTCACATTTGACCGAACCACTTCTAATTCACCCTCTGTCATTGTTATGCAAAAATTTTAATCTGGGAAGTTGAGATTAAATTATTTCAGTGACCATCCATCCGATTATTATTCTGAATAAACTTGAAATAACATTAGATAGGTTTACTTTTTTAATTCAAATGAAATATCTTTGCATTAAAGATATTAAACAATACTAACGAATACCTTACACTTTTCCATCCTCATGTATTATTTAAATTGATCGATTTCATAAAAATTTAACAAATTCCATTAAATTAAAAAGTTCTGAACAAACAAAATTTAAAAAGAACTTGATTTTACTCTTCCCGTCGAATTTATCGCTGCCATTTATGTTAGAAATAAACCCGCTAATATAAAATAATTTGCCGCTTTTACAATCTGTTTAGAGTTATGACAGTAATAAAGGTGTACATTAATCCTTTTATTATGTATTCCCTAATACTCATTTGTTGCAGTCTGTCAGTTGTTGTGTCACTTCAACTGCAATATTCTCAAGTTGTTTTTTTATACATACAATGTATAAATTGTATACGCTTTAGAAATTTGTTATTATATTCCGATTAATGTAAACTTTGTTTATGCTAATTTAAACAAAAATGTAACAAAAAGGAAATTAAAAGATGAAAGTGAATTTCAAATCTCTTCGATTGATTCCAATTCGTTACAGTTGTTTCTCTTTTGTTTATCTATATTCTTTGTTTTAAAGATCACACTGCCTTTTGACTGCGTTAGATATATTTTATAGTAGATAGACTCTCTAGTGTTTCTGTTGAGAGCTCTTACGTCGAAAAATTGTCAAATAAAAAATTAAATATATTTATTTACTTATTTAAGCAAGACCCGCCTTACAGGAAGCAACCCAATTACAAGGCAGGATGAAAAGTAATACAAATATATGGTAACAATACGAGAAACAATCAAAAGTTAATCATATAAAAAACAAAAATATTAAGGTATTAAAATACAAAACAAGTACAAAAAGTATTGAAGGAAAGAATTAAAAAAGTATGTATAAATGTGAAGATGTGGATATTACAATTTTAAAAATGTCAAATGCCAAATCAAATAGCAAAAATCAATACAAAACAAATTAAATACAAAAAATAATCAAATAAAAAGTAATAATTTTTAAAAAATAAGCTGTTTTGTTTTACTAAAATCTCCGCAACTAAATTGTCGAATAAGTGCTAATAATGATCCTATAGAAAAATTATAATATATTTTATAGAATTTGTTCTTCACTGTTTTATAAAGCAATTGTTATAGAATATTTTATCTGATGGAACAAAATTGATGTGAAACAGTTTTTGAATAACAACCCAGTTCGTTTATTTGTCAATTTGCGCATCTATAAAACTATACCATAAGCGTTTATAAGGTATTTAAACAAGATACAGAACAGAGACTATAGTTTATCTCTTACTCTTGATATTACTAAGCCGCAATTATTTTTCAAAAAAAAGAAATATCTTAGTTATATCATAAATCAATGTTGAGGTTCCATTAAAAAAAAAACTTAAAAAACTAATGTTTAAACAACTTAATTTTCAGTCATTTTTTAACAATTTACTTTTTTTAAATCCATTTTCTTGTTATTGTACGTTATAGTACAACTCTTCACGAGATAAGCTATGGTTTGTTAGAGCTGTAGGCGACGCAAAACAGACAATCAGTTGTGCGCGTCGGACTTACGTTGGAATCAAGAACACAAGAAGATGCATAGCTGGTTTGTTATACTCTATTTTTAAACTAAAAGGAGTGAATGCCAAAGACAAATTTACACTGCAAAAGTTACTAAAAACTACCCCAGATAGCATCAGCACAGAAGATAAAACTGGATAAAACTTCTGTGGCATCAGACTATCAAGTATATACTCACTGCAAGTGTTTAACCTCATTTTGAGTACAATAAGCTTTCATTACTTTTAAATGAGGTTATTAACCTATTCAAAATAATGTGCAATGAATAAATATCTAATTCTAGGTTTATTTAACTTTTATATATATTTTTTTAAAATAGGATATGAATGAAATAATATACTACGAACCAAACATATATAAATGATTCCAGTTTTCACTTTTTAAAAACAATTTTATTGATTCACATTTTTACATCTAGCATTGAAGTAATTATATAATGGTGTTTTTGTTACTTTGAATTGTTGCATTTCTACGAACTACGTTTATTAAGTTACCGGATAATTGCCAAATAACTGATAACTGAACTACGTTCGTAATATATCATCTGCAGGTGTTCAAAGTAACAAAATAAGTTTTTATAATTTATAATATTATTGGTAAAAATTAGGGACAAATCATGTCTTTAACAATTTTCTGAATTATTCGACGAGTCAGTATCCATATCGCTCTCGCTATTATTAATTGATATAATTAAAGGTTCAATGAGATCGTCCATAATTCCGTCAAGTGTTCCCATTTTTTCTTCCTCCTTAATCACATGTTCTACACATTTTTTCCAGTTCATATTTGTAACATTATTAAGAGCCTCTATTAGTAGTTCCCTTACGTCCTTCAATTTATATGTTTTATTTTTGCTTGCCACTTCATTCTTCACCTGTGCCCAAATCAATTCTATAGGGTTTAATTCACAATGATATGGCGGTAATCGTAACACAACTTTATTTTCTTTTTTTGCCATTTCGTCAGTTATATACAAATTATATTTATCTTTATTTTGGCGAATTAAATATAATAATTGCGATCTCACCATACCTTCTTCAAATTCGATATTTTTTTATTGCAGCCATGCCTTCATATCAATTTTTCTTGTTGATGTTGTCGGAATAGCTTCTACTTTTCGACTATGGTATGATGCATTGTCCATTACAATAACAGAATTATCTGGTATTTTTTTCAAAAATTCAGAAAACCACTTTTCAAATACATTTGCATTCATTTCCTCGTGATAATCCCCACTCTTTTTGCCTTCGAAAACCAATAACGAGTCTTCAACGAATCCTTCCTCTGAGCCAGCGTGTAAGATAATAAGACGCTTTCCTTTACCGGACGGATTTTTTAATCCCGTAGACAGCCCTTCATTGAACGCCTCACGTTTGCTTTTAATATTAGTATCAACCCATACCCTTTCTTTTGTATGACCTTCATTTAACCATGTTTCATCTAAATAATAAATAGGTCTACCTTCAGATCTAAACTTTTTAATTGATATCAAGTAGTCAAGTCTCCATCTCACTATATCATCACGTTCTATCAACACACTTTTACGACTTCGTTTTAAGTATCTGCAAAAAAAATAAAATGTTTTTATTGCAATTATACTTGCTCCGAGATATGTCTTCAACCTTACTTGAAATTAATTTGTTTCATAAATTTGTATAATGATGAACGGGACATCTGTGGCAAATCCTGACGACTTTTTATTTCGGTTAATATTTTGTCCAAAGTGGGGATCTCATTTTTAAAGAAAAAGCTGTGTACTATACGCCTTATGGAATTCTTCATTGCTTCATCCAAACATGTAACAATCCCAGGTCTTCCACCACAGTGTTTGGAAGTAGACACCCTTCCAGTAGATTTATACTGTTTTATGGCTCGATATACTGTTGATTTTGCAACACCTAAAAAAGTATAATGTGTAATATAGTTCAACAGAATAATGTTAACATAAATTTACCTAATGTCATCGCTATTTTGGATACAAGTTGGACAGTTTTAAGAGTAGGTTCATCATCTAGGCTTTTCTTGTACAAATTCAATATTGCTTGCTTTTCTGCCAGAGACAAATGCCCCAAACTGAGTTGTTTTCGTTTCCTTGGTGGCGACGGCGATGTAATTCCCGCGCCTGCCTTACTCGTGGTCGGCACAGCATCATCCATATCCAATGGAAAATTGGAAAAAACGGATGATAAACAATATAATAAGTTGTTTAGTTCTGATAAGAACTGATTTATACGTAACTGGGATAATAAATAGAAAGAAAAGCAAGTAAAAACACAATGACAACGAACAGATGATAACTAAGAGGCAAAATGACAACAAATGTCAAAATGTAAAATTTATTAGCAGTATAAAGTGGGCTCGAAATTAACCAATAAGAAACCACCATTTTGGCGCGAAATATTCAAAACGCTCCTCTTAGTTTAAAAATAGAGTATAGAGTCTGCTTAGGTGGACTCACGGTAGACAGAAAATTATGTGCGTCGTCGGTTCAGTCGAATTCAAATTGGATTTGATTTCAACGCAGTCGTTCAGTTGAGCTCACAGCGTACAGTTTTACAAATATTAAAATGGCAACCAAGTTTTCACCAGAGAAAGACGAGAAATTAATCGATTTCGTACGAGAACATCCCCCATTGTATACCGTCCCTTCTAAACGTCTGTTAGAAAACATTCAATCTTCACTTTTATTTTGATGACGACAACTAATTAAATTTAAGAGATTTTTTTCATGTTCTTTTTCAATAAGTATCATCAGCAAAAAATATTCAACCATTGTCATGAAAAAAAAAAAAAAATTGACAAATTAATAATAAATATTTTCATCTGCACTTATCAGCATACAATCACAAGCCCTAAATCTAACAAAACACCCTCCTTCAAAACCGATAAAGTTGAACGCTACAGATTATGCTTACTGCGTATGTCGTCTGCGACGCACAGTTCTAACAAACCAAAGCTTGAAGCTATGGTTTGTTAGAGCTGTAGTCGACGCAAAGCAGAGAGGCAGTTGTGCGCTTCGGACTTACGCTGAAATCTATAACACAAGAAGATACGTAGCCGGTTTGTTAGATTCTGCTCAGGTGGACTCACGGTAGGGAGAAAATTTTGTGCGTCGTCAGTTCAGTCGAAATCAAATTTGATTTGATTTCAACGCAGTCGTTCAGTTGAGCTTACAGCATACAGTGCTAATAAGCATTTATTTTTAACTAATTTTAAAATGGCAACCAAGTTTTCACCAGAGGAAAACGAGAAATTAATCGATATCGCACGAGAGCATCCCAAATTGTATACCGTTCCTTCCAAATGTCTGTTAGAAAACATTGATCTTCACGACAACTAATTAAATTAAAAAGTAGATCTTTTTCATGTTCTTCTTCCTCAATAAGTATTTTCACTAAAAATTGTTCAACCATTGTCATGATAAAAATAAATTTCTGCATTTACCAGCATACAATCAGAAGTACTAAATCTAATAAAACACTCTCCCTTCAAAACCGATAAAGTTGAACGCTACAGATTTTGCTAACAGCGTATGTCGTCTGCGACGCACAGTACTAACAAACCAAAACTTAAGATGAGCCTCCGGAGAATTCTCTACTCGTACGACGCTTGTAGGCTGAAAAAATTTGAATTTTCTAAGGCAACAAATTACTTTAACAAAATCTAATTAATAGTTTAAGCTAAAATTAACAGCACTTATAAAGAATACAGAAACCTTCAATCCAAGCTGCGCTACCAAGCAAAATTAATATAATTATATGCAATTGGAGCAAAACAATGTTTTTGGTTATTTACAAGAAAACAAGTTGACGAATTTTAACCAACCTTTTAATATTATGTATAATGCTAAAGCCTGTATTTTTTATTTGTCACCAGTAATAAAGGTTCCATAGTTACAAGCAAAAAAACGGTTTTTCGTATATTCTTGCATCATTTAAATAGTGTTTTACCGCAAATATTCTTCTAACTATTCTGATACCCATTCAAAGAATTTCCAATAATAAAATACCCTCTCAACGTTTTCTTTTTTTTGAAACAGTACTTTTTGAGTCATTTTTTAAATTAAAAAAAAAAAAAATTTAGAGAATAATTGTTATCCGCAAACACATTTCCAAAAATTAAATTATAATGTTGCTGCACATAATAAAAAAAATTAAATGTGTAATACAATTCTTATAAAACTGTTCGTTCAATTATTATAGTTTATCAATTTATTTAATTCCATGAAAATGTTTAGTAATCAACGTCCATAATTGTTTTATAAGAACTGCCCTTTTCGTGTTTATAAGTCTTGTATAAACGTTTTGCTGTTGTTTACACTTTGTGTGTTGTTTCACTATTCAATTTGATTGGACATTATAAAAATGTACTTTTATCAATTACGTTTATCGTTTATACGTTTTATCAATACGTAAACACTGTAATCAAGTTTCTAAAAAAATATTTGATCTCTAATTGCTTATCTACCAAAAAGAAACATAAACAGTTCATTTATACGTATATGGATTGATCCTAAATTTATAAACTTAATTTGTTCGAATTCGGCTTTAAAATAAATTAGTAAAAAACAATAATTCTCCTTTGAGTAATTAGGTATATTAGGGTAGGATCGCCCAAGAGTACGCACCTAACTTAAACTTTTTAATAAAACTGTAAAAATTGTTCAAAAAAATTTATTGAAATGAAAACTTCTTGAGTTGGACTGTAATGTTTATAAAAAATATCACAAATGGGACGCCTAATTGACTATAACAAAAATATGACACTTCGAATAAAAAATCAAAAATGCGTACTCTTGGGTGAATGGTACCCCAAGAGTACGCAACGAATAAGTCAAAGAGTACGCACATATCAAATTAAAAAGTAAAGTTGTATTCTTCCACTTTGAATGCTGTGGACTACTTCTCGCAAGAGTCGCAAGAAAAAGTACCTGTTCCCAGGTAGTTAGAACATTCCTCATGCCACCATTTGTGACAGTTGCTGCATCTTATCCAGTCCGAGGTGCTGAAATTTTCACTGCATCCGGGGCAAATCGTATTATCTTTTTCAGCTACTATCTTTCCTTTTTTGTTTTTAGGTTCTCCTGTCTTGGAAGTGAAAATGTTCCGTTTTCCACCTGTTGGTTTTTCTTTTTCTTTTATTTCTTCCAATAACTTATCTTTATAGGGAGTTGAGGAGAGTATTTCTGATTTCTTCGACTTATTTCTTCTAACTTGTACGTGTTTAGCCTTCGGCAATGGCAAAATCATTCTTGGTGTCATGGGGTGACAAGATGGACCAGGTAGATCTGATTCCACGCACTGACGAGAAGGACCAGGCAAATTTAGATCAATGTTAGCTGGAGGTGTGGTCTGTGGCGGACCAAAATTTTTAACTTCAACGAACGTACTTTGATCCGATATTCTTTTTTCCATACCTACTGCTTTCTTTTGTTTATCCTCAATCAAAAGAGTGGAAATGGGAAAGTCATCCTCGTCGCTCCAATCTGAAACAGCGCCGTTATGATAATTTTCATTTTGTGGGGGCTCTGGCTCGAATTCAGGTCTGTCCGTAACTGTAGCTGGTGCGAAATCTGCTGCAGTGAAAACATCGGGATTGTATGGATATAAACCGGTGCATGCGAAGGATTTTTCACAAATCTGTATAGTTGCGACTTTAGAATATGCAGCATGGAACAGAGCTGCCATTTCTTTCATTGTAATTGGCTTTCCGTGGTTGGTCACCATCCATTTGTCGCATTCGCTGGAAAAAGCGGTTTTCAATGGAAAGAAAAATGCTCTATCCAAAGGTTGGATTTTGTGACTGGCATGGGGTGGCAATGTCAATAGAACGATGGAGTGTTCCCTTGCAAACAGAATGGCCTCAAGAGAACAGTGGGACACATGATTATCCAATGTTAGGATTACAGAATCTGTTTTAGACGGCTTAACAAAGTCATAAAAATGACGTAACCACTTAACAAATAATTCGGAATTCATATATCCCGAATCAGAAATCATTTTCAACGTGCCTGGAGGTGCTCCATAGAAGAGCTCATCTTTCATCCGTTTTCTCGCAAAAATTAACCCCGGTGGTACCCAAACACCTGAGGCACTCATACAGCACACTGCTGTTACTAATTGCCCCCTTTCAGCGGACACAACTTTGGAGACCGTCCTTTTGCCTTTGGGAGCGAACACTTTGGGCAGCTTGTTTGGAACAGTCGACAGCCCCGTCTCGTCCATATTAAATATCCTATGGGGCAGGGCATTCGTTTTTTCGTAGACCAATTTTAAATTTTGAAAAAACCTTTGGCATTGCACTTGATTGAATCCAATAGCACGTGCTAGGCTGCACTTCTCTGGAGCTCTTAATGAAAGTGCATTTCTTGCTGCAAAACTTTGCACCCAATGTTTTCCTGCCAATTTGCTATCATCGTTAAATCGGTGAGGAATTTTGTTTATATCGGCGTATTGGTAAGCTAAAGATCTTACGTCTTTCATGCGCAATCCATAAAATCGCACATCAAGATCGCGAATATGGTTAGCCAATTCTGTTTCTTCCTCTTCGGTAAATACAGGCTTAAATCTACCCAGATTTGTAGGAATTGTACCCTGTAAATGCATTTTCTTAGAAATACATCCTAGCATCAAGATTTTAGAAATACATACCTCACGTAATCTCTTCCTTAGCGTGCACTCGTTGACACCCAATGATTTTGCAACTGCTCTTTTGCTTTCACCTGTGTTAATGCGATCTCTTGCTTCAATTAATAATTCTGCAGTGAATTTCAACTGCCTGTTGGTTTTTCGTGTGTATTTTCCCATCGTAGGTATAGATAAAAGCTGAAAACATAATGTAAAATTAATATAAATATTAAGAGTTGGTTAAGAGTAAGAAGGTTGGTAAGAGTACGCACGCGTACTCTTTGGGTGCGTACTCTTGCCGCCAGTGTCCAGATATACATTAATTTCCTATACATGTTTATACAACCGGCATAACCTAAAAATGGATGCATCATTGTCTTTGGCAAGAAACGCCTTTTATCGTGTATATTAACAA